TTATAGACGGAGAGCTAGCTACGTGTGGACTGCACTGATCGACTATAGTGGTGATTTTTTGTTAAAAGTTTCTTATCACATTGACAAAGCCAGAGCCCATCAGTCAGAAGTCGCTCCAGAGGCGGAGAGCGTGAGCGGGCGGTTAAACGCGTAAAGTTTTGTCAATAAAAAAATAATCGAATATAGTCATGAAAACTGGTACACTTATAGATTTTAAGTGGATAAACATAGAAAAAATATTGTCAGAAGGCTAGGTGGTGGCTTAAGCGCTCTCAGAAGCGATAAAGTAGTAAATTGTGAATTGAAAAATAAATCACAATATATAGTTCTGACATTTTGTTTATAATGCAAATAGACTATCTGTAAAGTTACAGAAGTTAAAAGTGAGGCTAATAGCCAAACACATTATTGATCACCGCGCCTGCAAATTTTGTCCTGGCTGCTACGCCCAGCGTTTTTATTGTTTTATTGTTAAGAAATGAATAAATGTAGTTCAGACATTTTACATAGCCACTCTTTACATATATATTTATGTTGTAACGAAACAACAGAAGTTTAGGCAGAGGTTAAGACTATACCAGAGTCAAGTATAGCGCGCAAGACGATAGCACGAGCCGACAAAAAAAATTGTTTGTTTTTGCGACATGACCCATTCTATCTTTAGAAAAATTTTCCGCTGAATCCGAAACAGATAAAAAGAAAATTTTCTGATGTATGGATTTTCCTCACATACTCTCAATTCCCATCAAAAATTAAAAAAATCCAAACTGGCTATCAAACCTACCCATCCTTAGTAAAATTTTTCGCTGAATCCGAAATTCACAAAAAAAGTTCTGACGTATAGATCCCCTCAATTCTCTCTAAAAATGCAAAACATCCAAACTGGTCATACAATCTACTTATATTTAGTAAAATTCGCTGAATCAGAAAATGGCAAAAAAATTGTTTGGACGTGAGGGATCCCTCTATTCAACTGTATCTCTCACTTTCTTTCAAAAATAAAAATAAATACAAATCAAACGTGGCAACCGTTATAACTAAGATCTGACGATAAAACCAAAACTAAAAAATATTTTTGAACTAAAATCTCTGCTCGTACACTTAACCTCACCCCCAGCTAGCATTTTCAAATTACGGTTAGCATCCTAGCATTGATGACATTTTTCATTGAAAGCTTATTGTTTTCCAAAATGTTTCAAGCTCTTAAGTAACATTAAGCTAGGTAGGTATTTTCTAAATCCAGGTTATAACTTACTCTGGGTTGGTAGACGCCTTGACGTGGCCCCAGGGCTTGAACTCGCATTTTAATTGAATGCGAAGTTAAAATGTTAAAACGTTTTAGAAAATACCTTCCGCATGCTACTAGCTTAATGTTACTTAAGAACTTTTGGAAAATAGTAAGCTTTCACTGAAAAATTTCATCAGTGCTAACCGTAATTTGTAAATGATATCTGGGGGGCGAGGTTAAGTGTACGAGCAAAGGAAACTTAGTTCATCAATATTATTTAGTTTTGGTTTTACCGACAGATTTTATAAAAATTATAACGGTTGCCACGTCTGATTTGTATTTATTTTTATTTTTGAAAGAAACAAGTGAGAGATACGGATGAGCAGGGGGGATCCCTCACGTCCAAACAATTTTTTTCAATTTTCGGATTTAGCGAATTTTACTAAAGGTAAGTTGGATGGGCAGTTTAAATTTTTGGGGGGAATTGAGGGTGTGTGGGGGAGTCCATAAATTTTTCTTTTTGTCATTTTTCGGATTAACTGGAAAATTTTACTAAAGAGGTTGGATGACTAGTTTGAATTTTTTTAATTTTTGGGGAAATTAAGGGTATGTGGTCTGGAATCCACACGTCAGAATTGTTTCTTATCATTTTCGGATTCAGCGGAAAATTTTACTAAAGAAGGGTAGGTTCACGTCTCAAAAACACAGGATTTTTTTTTATCGGCCTGTGTAGTCAGACCGTTATTCTGGCCTGGCTTTCAAAATAGTAACCAAGCGTCAACTCGCTTCTGATTTTCGCTCCAGTCACAGCTCTAACAGCGTTCACTGCTTGTGCATTAGATTTTTCGTATATTAATAAATTTTTAAGCCACCAACAATGGCAAGTGTTAAAGTGTGTGTTTTCAATTGCAGTTACAATGACAAAAAAAAATTACAGATGTAGAGTACAGCAGATTGCGATTCAGAGTAAAGTGCACAGTGTGTATGTCGGTAGAAAAACCAATTTAAAACCATTGTGAAAACAAATATTACCAAATAAAAAAAATTATAGCAATTTATTCGATTGCACTTAAACTTATGTAGCTCTGGCATAGCCTTAACCTCTGTGTAAACTTCTGTTGTTTCATTATAATAAACATATATAATATAAAGATTGGTTACGTAAAATGCTAGAACTATACTTAATTATTTATTAACAACAAAAGATCAAAAACGCCGGGCGTAACAACCACGGCAAAATTTGCACGCGCAGTGATAAATAATGTTTTTTTGACTATTAGCCTCACTTTTAACTTCTGTAACTTTACAGATAGTCTATTTGCATTATAAACTAACAATAAACAAAATGTCAGAACTATATATTGTGATTCATTTTTCAATTCACAATTTACTACTTTATCGCTTCTGAGAGCGCTTAAGCCACCACCTAGCCTTCTGACGATATTTTTTCTATGTTTATCCATTTAAAACCTATAAGTGAACCAATTTTCATGACTATATTCGATTATTTTTTTATTGACAAAACTTCTTACATTTAACCGCCCGTCCACGCTCTCCGCCTCTAGAGCGACTTCTGACTGATGGGCTCTGGCTTTGTCAAAGTGATAAGAAACTTTTAACAAAAAATCATGACTATAGTCGATCAGTGCAGTCCACACGTAGCTAGCTCTTGGACTAAAAAAACACTTATACTAATATAAACGCTATTTATCGAACCAAACGACATTAAAGAGAAGGAATGGACGTGCTTTTGCTTTTATTCAGGAACTATTTAAAGAATTATACTACATAAACTTTTAACTATCTAAAAGTGTATTAAATTTTACAAACTGAATTACGTACCTACACGTCCCCAAACTAAATGCATCGCGCTGCATTGCTGATGAAGGATATTATAAGGACAAAATCTCCAACTAGGTAAGTTCTTGATTAGTTTGAGGAAATTAACATCAAAAACTTTCAAGAGTTGTAATCATATCGGACATTCTCTTGCATTAATAAACTTTTTCCAACAAAGTTAATTCTTATTTGCTTTTGTCTTAACACAAACATTATATTTCGATTCTTAAATAATTTAAATATTACCTCAATATCACACAGAGTATTTATAAGGATCGTTTATCTTTTTCAATATTATTTAAAAATATAGCATGATTATTGTAACATACAGGTATATCCAGGAAAAATATATTTCAAGAGATAGTAGAGGCGCTAAGCTATTTATAAATACAATTTCTTTGATTGCAGATATACATTTCCCATTAGGTATTCTAACAGGGGCACTGAACACTGCACAAAGCTAACATTACATTCGTCTCGTTGGATACCAAAGCCATCCTCGGGATATCTGAAATTCAAACGTTAAAGAAGTTGGAATAGAAAAAGAAAACACTAAAACTTACATGAATGCCGCATACAGCAGGTCTTTTACTAAAGATTTTTCTTTGGTCTTTTTGTGCTGTAGGATCGCACACATTATTTTTCTAATGCATATGTCTCCGTTCAAGCCAACCCTAAATAAAATAATTATTAAATATTACATTGTTTGTAATTATTTATTAGTGGTATTTTCTGTTACTACGAGTATTTATTTATTATTTATACCGTCTCATAGCATTTCTTGATAAACAATTTTGTGACTCCAGCAGTGCATTCGACAGTGTCGATAATAAGATATTACTATTAAAATTATCATCGTATGGTATGCGCGGTTTGGCTCTAAATTAGATTAGATCTTATATTGAACAGAGCAGTTTGTTAATATAACTCATTACAAAGATAGAATTACAAATAGAATAAATTCGGACCGTGCTTCTCTTAATTTGGGGGTCCCACAAGGTTCGATTTTGGGTCCCATATTGTTTTTGTTTTATGTTAATGATTTCGCCAAAATAGTTGATGACGCTTGTTTAACAATGATACGTCTTTATTAATTTCTCATGTAATGGATTAGTTGTTATAAGTCACACTGAAAGAAATGAGCGTTATTCTTTATTAGAAGCCATGGCTTTATGCCATTATAAGACCATTGTATACTATATGTCACAGTTAATCAGGTGAATATTGGATATGATACGCGTACTGCTAGCACAGTTGTATAGTGACTATAAACCTTATTCTTTATTAAATTATTGTATAACTAGTATACAACGTTTTTTATACCCTTTATGAAAAAATAGCAATAACTGTTATTAAAGTGTTCCATATCGTTATTAGAACATCTAGTACTGGTTATATGTTTTATAATAATAAATGTATTAAACTGTTGTTCATCATACTCTGTATGAGTTAAAAACATATGACATTAAGTTTTCAGAAATTTTATTGGATAACTGTCATTACAAGCTAAGGTTCTAATGTAAACATAAAACGTACATTTAAGTATTAGAAATGATGACAAATCGCTCCCAAAACTGTCCAGTTTATTCTCTTAGCAACGATGCACCCGAATTTTCTTGTATTACATGAGAATTTGCACTATAACTCTTCCACCTTAAGAATGAAGCATCCCCTGAAAGGTTGAGCTTCTTTCCATCTAATTCTATTTCCTCTGGTTGATTGACTTTATACCCATGCTCTTCTTTGTCACCGTTAACCTTCTGTTCTTCCATCTTATGTAAAACTTAACATCAGCGGTTTCTAAAAGGGCATACAAAATAATATTTTTTAAGATTTAGACAAGATTTACATTTGAAAAAACAAAACAATTACAATTCATAAAACAGTTAGATACTTACATAATTTTCCATTTCACACAACGCGATATGATCAGGTGCCTACGCTGTCTATTTTCATCAAACTAGACGTGTAATAGTCGTAAGTCGATCATATACTTCTATAATATACAAAGCATTTTGAAAGGAAATTGAAGCCAAAAAGTGGGGGTGTTGCACTTTGTGTGTTATACGCATGCGCTATCATCATTTTCCCATTGGTCGGTTTGTCGGTTAACGTCATTGTCATTTCCGAAGGTAGGTTAGGTTATGAACAGAAAGACAGCCGAAATGATTTGGTAAACAAAAAAAAGGAGAGGAAACGAGGCAGACCCATAAAAAAGATGGGACCAAGTAGTGGCAGAAGACTTAAAGAAAAGAGGAACAAACTGGCATGAAGCGATGAATCTAGCAAAAAATAAAAAAGAAGACAAAATTTTTTCATAAGTAAAAATGTATATCTTTACACCCTATGGATACTTAAGGTTTTATTGATTGAGGATTTTTATTAATTAAGGGTAATATATTGATGAAATTGTCTGAAGCAAATTTTTACGTGTTTATTACAAAATGTATCTAGTTTGTAAACTTACTTCTAATAGATAGGTACATTGACAACCTTAGAAGTTTCATGGTGATCTCTTACTGTTATATACTAAAAGGAGACAAGTAGTTTCCCTTTATATATTTTTTGCAAATGTCACAAGAAATTATTTTTATAACCTGTGAAGTTACAAAGCCCGCTATATATGATAACATATGGTTTTTACGTAATCATGTTCAAATAAAAAAACGACACTTGTGTGTACTTGTGTTTGGATCACAAATTGGATGAGCTATTTTATTTGAAAAAGAATACCTAGGGACAATTTATATCTAAAACCGGCACTGCTTCAATGTGACTAGCTTTGCTTTGTATATTTAATAAAATAAGACCTGATATTTAGCATATATTAGATAATCAAATTGAATCTGGTACCTTTAATTACGAAACATTTAGGTTAATACGATTGATATGATTTATTTTTATTATTTTTTATATATAAGTATTAGTTAAGGTTTATGTATATGTATGTATATTTGTACGTAATGTGTATTTTTATATGAATTTTTGTGAAGATGTATTCATTTTAAATTTCAAAAAATGTTGCTGTTTTATGTAATAAATCATAAACTCTTCTGGATTCAGTTTTATTGTACCCATTTTGTTTTACATTCACTATCTAATATTCTCATAAATTACAATTAACAAGTTGTATAATTAGATATATAGAATAATAATAGATAATTTTACTCTGTTAATAGTACATCAGTTTTTAAATTTCATTTGAAATAATCCGCTAAATTTTCGGGCTTGCGCAAAATTGACAAAGTGCAACATGTACACTTTTTATCCCTCCTTTTTGGGAACAAGGTCATTAATGTAAAAGATATGCAGTGCTTGGTATACAGTGTAGGAAAGTACCGATGGTCTATCAGAAGTTACGTGAGAGCGATAAAGTAAGCGTATATACTTAATAACGTCACAAATTGGTACGCAACTAATTCTCTTTATTTTAACGTCAATAAAACTCATAAAATTTCATAATTGGCAGAAGCAATACTGCTTCTAACCCTACATACGTAGGGTTAGATCTAAACATAAATGATGTCTCCATTTCTAAATGTAAGAACACTACGTTTCTGAGTTTGCATCTGGATGATTCCCTAAATTGAAACAAACAATACAAAAACTTAATATCGAAATTTCATTCACTGTCTTATCTTTTTCTAGGCTGTGTGTTTGAAGCAGGTGCAACAAATATTCAATTTTTAGTAGACACATTTTTAAAGAATATAAAATATTAACGCTTCCGACTCTTTACATCTTTGAATTATGTGAATTATATATGTACAAAATGACTTTGACAGAAGAGGATTTGTGTAGTTTCAGCAGGATGGTACTCCACCACATTATGCCGTAGCTGCGCGTCATCTTCTTAATCAGAACTTTCCAAATCATTGGATAGGACGCATAGGTTCAGTTGAGTGGCCTCCCAGATCGCCAGATCTAACGCATGTAGACTTTTTTATATGGGAAAACTTATAGTCGAAAATTTATGCAAACGCTCCGAAATGCTCGTTCGGAAATGGGGCAAAGATTTTGTTATTATATGGAAGCGGAGATAAACCAATTTGAACATTTAATAAAATAATATTCTTTCATTCATTGATATTTTGCCTTTTTCTTTAAGTGATGATTTTATTGTCATATCCAAACCAAATTTTAAAAAGTCGTATGTCGTCGTGAGCAGAACTGAAAAACGTTTAAAATGAGGTGTCACTAAAAAATAGGGTGCCATTTAAAGTTTAAGGGTATTTTACACCTCAGGGGTAGCTTCCAAGACACGAACTTACGCCATCTTGTGCGTCCCCCTTAAAAAGAAATTCGACGTGTCTCAGTTTTTTTTTAATTCCGATATTTCCCAGGTGGGAAGTTTTATTAGGAATTCCCTGTATAGGAATGTATGGATAAATAAGAAAATAGTAGCAAATGGCTTAAATATAAATAATAATTAGACAAGCTTACCATAACAAAAAAGGAAAACAAAAAAGCAAAATAATAGTGGTATTGGATTACCATGTTAATACTCATTAAATAATTATCCAAAATGAAATTTAAATATGAAATGTTTAAATAAAAGTAAGTACCTACACCACTGAAGTTAATATCCCGAGTCGATTCTAGTATATACAGAGCGTACCATTGAAAACTTTGCACCCGGCTTATTTTGAACTACGTTCCAAAATATTAAAATTACCGCGACACGTCCATTTTGTTTTCGAGGGGGACACATTTTAGCGTTAAATACAGACTCGCCAGAACAACCCCCTTCGCGGAAGCGCATTCAACTTTAGAATCTTAAATGGCACTCTAGGTCGAGTGACACCTCATTCGAAAGTGTTTTTAATTCTGGTTGTCATCATGTAATTTTTTTTCAATTTTAGTTCATCTGCTGTTGAAAAAAAAATTTTACTTATGCTTAGAAATAAAAGACAGTTTTGTATTATTCATTCATAATTAATTGTTCAAAATGCGAAAGTGAAAACTATAAAAAGTTTTAATTTATTTTCACTGTAAAAACTGTACAAATAAAAGGTATTTTGAATAATGAAAAAAATTGGTGCTGATAACAAATTTACCAGTCAACATCTTTTAGTCGCTATTCAGTTCTCAAAGAAAAGTGTTTAGCAGAAGTGTGTTTAGTAATTATTAATTCTAAAAATGACTTATTCGAAAGACGAAAGGGTTGAAATAATTTCTCTCTATTTTAAAAACCATGATAATGCACGGCTTACGGCAAGAATTTTTAATCAGCGTCACCCAAATAAACACACCTCCGATGTTTACGTCGCCAGTTTGGTTCAAAAGTTCTGTGAAACAGTATCAGTGGAAAATAAAAAACGACAATTTCGAAACCCTGTTAGAAATGAGGCTACCGAACTAACTACATTTATCCAATGATTATTGAAACTATGGAAAATGATGACAACATTTTAGAAGACAATGTTTGGTTGCAACAAGATGGCGCACCTCCACATTTTACAGTTGCAGTTCGGCAGTTTTTAAAAGAAATTTTTCCAAATCAATGGATAGGTCGCCGCGGACCTATTGAGTGGCCACCCAGATCACCTGATCTGACACCACTCGATTTCTTTTTATGGGGACATTTAAAGTCTAAAATTTATACCACTCAGCAGCAGGCTCTAGAAGAACTCAGGCGGCGTATCATTGAAGAATGCCACCTAATTACCCCCGAAATTCTTAACGTTTTTATTATTGCATGGAAGTGGGAGGCGGATATTTTGATCAATTAGTTAAATGATTATGACCAACTTTTTTTCATTATTCAAAATACCTTTTATTTGTAAACAGTTTTTCCAGTGAAAATAAATTGAAACTTTTTATAGTTTTCCTTTTGGCATTTTGAATAATTAATTAAATGATTAATACAAAATTGTCTTTTATTTCTAAGCATAAGTAATTTTTTTTTCAACAGATGAACTACTAAAATTGAAAAAAAATACAAGATGACAACCATAATTAAAAACACTTTCGAATGAGTTGTCACTCGACCTAAAGTGCCATTTAAGATTCTAAAGTTGAATGCGCCCCCGCGAAGGGGCTTGTTCTGGCGAATCTGTATTTAAAATTTAAAATGCGTCCCCCTTGAAAACAAAATGGACGTGTCGCGGCAATTTTAATATTTTGGAACGTAGTTAGCAAAGTTTTCAATGGTACACCCTATATGGTAAAACAGTATTATTACTGGTAAAAATAATGAGAATAGTTTTTAATATTTCTGATTTTTTAAAATCACCAAGTCACTCAAGGTATACTAAGGCCCAATACTTTGAGTTTCGGTTAAGACTTGATTAACTAATCAAGCGATTTTAGACTGTGAATATATATTATAAAATAATTGAGTATATACAGGGTGATTCAGAACTTATCCAAAAAAAAAAATTCTGGATGTACAGGGGACCCTTACAAATACAATTTTATAAAGAAAAAATCAATAAGATCAGTTCGACATTGATTTAAAAATACACTTCTGCACTGCACTGGAAACTGGTCCAATGTAAAACCTGACCTCGCACAATGCGACCGGTATGGCGGCGTGATAAAAACGGACAAAAACTTTCGCAAGGAAAGAAATATGTAAATAGAATTTTATCGTTATATCGGCAAATTCAAATGCTTTTGCCTTTATTAATTATTAATAAAATTAATTTGTGTTTTTAAATAATAAAATCATTTGACATACCCGATGCTGCAACAGCAATTGTTCAAAATTTTATCCACTAACGTATAAAGACATTTGGGTCCGTTTTACTCACTTTCTACGAACTAACACAAATGATGTCTTGCTTCACCATAACACAAATACTTCACCATAATACAAATGTTGTCTTGCTACACCATAAATTAAAACGATATCCATCAACTCTGAGTTGCAATACACGCAAGCCATTTTTGACACTAACTACTAAAATACTGATGTAAATACCACAGATAACAGGTAAAAACTACCGCAACGACGGATTTCATTATTAGGAGTCACATGGCTCTCCACGCGTATTGCGAATGACGCTAGAGACTACAGTTGTCCAGCTATGTAGTGGTTTAATGTGCTATAACTTCAATAATTTTTTTCTCAGAAACTATAAGGATTTTACAAAAAAATTTTTTTACAATATTGACTCCATTTCTCATGCCGCATCTATTCCCAATTTTTTTTTGGATAAGTTGTGAATCACCCTGTATACAGTCTAATAATGTGATTACTTATCCAACTTTTAACCGAGACTCAAAGTACCTGGAATAAATTGCTTAACTAAATTAAAGAAGTGTTCTCTCTAAAATAATTGTATTCAATAATGTTCTATTATAGAAATATAATATACTGTAATATTTAATAGCAGTAGGTGTAATGGGGAAAATTAGACTTTTATTAAATTCAGTATAAAATTGTTCTATTTTCTTTCCTATACTTTCGGCTATTATGCAATCTTATTTTAGACATTATGAAAAACAAAACAAACATCAACATGTTAACAAACAAACAATAAAACAAATATTTTCCCCATTAGGTACACCTAATATAGTCATATTTTCAAAATTAAAGTTACAGCTGTATTAAATAATGTCTTAAATAAACCAAGGAATATAACTCCAGTTTTCCCCATTACACTTAATATAATATTTTTAAAATCACAGATATACATATTAAATAATATCTTAAATAAATCAAGGAATGCGACTACCATCTCAAATTTTCGTATTTTCTGTCAGACCATTTTCTTCTGTATACGTCTCACATTATTCTCGAATACTTCTTAAAATCACAAAAGTATCAATTCTGGAGATCAGCAATTGCATATTTAATAATAATAAACACGGTATTCACATTGAAGCAGATAAATTTAGATACATCAATTCTTTATTACTTTTATTTTAATGATTATTACCTAATTTGAATTCTAGGTTGTTGCACAGACGATTTAGAAAAAGACAGAAATGATAGAAAACTTTACCATTAACTTTAGTACTAATATATTTTTTTTCAATGGACATTGAAACTAATCCCTTTTAAAATATGATGATGCCACCAAGGCAGTCATTTGACCAAACATTTCATATTTAAATTTTATTTTGGATAACTATTTTTTTTACTAACTGTTTAAAAGTATAGAGTAGTTGTTTCCTGCAGTATCAGCAGTTAGTAATTCTTGCCCGTGAGGTTTTACATACCTAGATTTGTGATGTCGAAGAAAATTGTTTTACCTTATTCGATAAGTTTTTTAATAATTATTTTAATGAATTTGTTTAAATTAGCTTATCTCAAAAAGGAGTAAAAGCCTATGAGAGCTAATAATAGAATATATTATTATGTATTTTTGAAATACTCCCTTATGTCCGATTTTATAGTTTTGTATGCTCTTATTTTTATTATTGTTATATATTGAATATTTAATTGTCAGTTAATTCTAAGTTGCTCTTAACTTCGAATATCGATCAGTTTAAGTCATTGCTTTTTTATTATTATTTTTATTTTTAACCAAAAAGGTATATAAAATACCGTTGTACGGCTTTGCCGCAGAAATGTTACTGCTATGTTTTGTACTGAAAACTATAGAACATCATGTCTCATTTAAGAATAGTCAAAATGAAACATATAGCTATAAATTCATTTTTTTTGGCCGGGAATTAACAAAGATATTGAAAACTTGGCAAAAAGTTGCAATAACTGTTCAGTAAATAAGACAAGTCCTCCTAAAGCAGAATTAAATCTAGGGAAAGGGCCAGAAAAAGTATTCGAACGTATTCACATAGACTATATGGGTCCATCTTTGAACAAATATGTTTTAATAATTATTGATGTACATTCAAAGTGAATTGAAGTTTTTCCAACTAACAATATTACCTCCGATTTTACAATAGCAGCATTACATAATACCTTTGCTAGATTCGGTTTAGCACAAGTGAAAGTTTCTGATAATGCTAAATGATTTACCAGTATGTTGTTTAAACAGATTTTACAAAAATATAATATTGAACATGTTACTATATCACCCTATTTTGCACAGTCAAATGGGGCAACTGAAAATGCAGTTAAAACTGTTAAAAATGCATTAAAAGATACCTAAGGTAGTAATAAAACTTTAAATATTGAAGAAGCACTTGATAACTTTTTATTTGATTTTAAAAATAGTAAACATTGCACTACTGGTGTTTCACCAGCAATGCTTATATTTGGCAGAGATCTACGAACTCGATTTAGTTTAGTAAAACCTGGAATTAAAGAAAATGTAAAAAAGAATGTCGAATCTTGTCAAAAAATCAAATTAAATGTATGCTGGGAACATCACTTTAATCAACGAAAAAAGTATATAAAAGATCGTTGTACGGCTTTGCCGCAGAAATTTTACTGCTATGTTTTGTACTGAAAACTCGTATGTGAAAATACAGAAATTAACACCAAACTGTGTTTCAATACTTCAACTATATTATTTTATATGCATTAAAATTCAATTTAAACTTAATAATTTACCTCTTACCCTGTCAACACGTTTTTCACTTGATTCAAGAAGTCATCCTTGTCAATGTTTCGTTTTGCTTTTTTCCCTTTTTTAAGCTTTTTGATGTCGGTAGGGAGAGGGAATGGCACATCAGCCTCTAATAAAATAGCCCATCCCCGAGGCTGTACTTGAAGAAGGAACTTTATATGAGATAAAGTTATCTATAAAGAGATAAATAATGAACCTTTCATAGTTACTAATTAAATTTACAGAACTAACTGCCGCAACCACTTTGAGATATTTAAGAGATTCAAATTTGAAATATTTGAGAATGTGACAATTTTCGATCAATTTTGTATTAAAGAGGACGTGAATAAGTACGCTCAAAATGAACGCAAAGGCTACTTCATTTTGTTATGCAAAAAAAATGTCTCGTTAGTCAACAAATGCATAACTCTGCTTGAGAATTGAAAAAGACACATTTGAGTACGTTACAAAGTGAGATTGAGTGACGGTGAAAATTGAAAAATAAATAAAAATACTTATCACACCACTATTCATGGACTATTGAATTACGAGACCATTGCGTCACTATTCTAAGGTTAACTCTTGACTTAATCTTTAAATTAACTTTTAATTTGACCTCTTATTACTTTGCAACGTGCTCGGATGTATAATTTACCGCTTTTCCAACAACAGGAATATAGGTAACGATATAAAAACAAAGTCAACCTTCAAATGACCTTCAAGATTAAATCCAAGGTCCATGGTCCAGGACATCATTAAAAACATTTGTACAGGTCATCAAGGTTGATTTCTGTAGTCGACCTTCAAATGACCTTGAAGGTCAAAGTCAAGGTCAATCCAAGGACATGAATGAGTACCTTGATAAAAATCCCATTGACTTTGCTTCAAGGGTGATAAATCATTTGAAGTCGCTGTGTCCTTGACCTTGACTGCAGAGTAAATGTTGAGATCACATTCGGATATAAAATTTTCTGCTGAATCTATTCCCACGGTTAAAAAGGGGTCCCATTTAAAATTATATATTTGAGTTCAATTGACCTTCAAGGTTCATACATTTCTGGATCGGAGGTTTCACTGACAAAATATTCATGTCTTCCGATTAAATTGGGATACGAGGTATATACAGGGTGTCCGGAAGCTAAACCGACAAACGGAAGCAGCAAATTCTAGGGATGATTTTATATCGTTTTGCCATAAATCGTCTCATCCAAAAATGTTTCCTATGAGAGGCTATTTGAAGATGGCCATTTGACATTGTTTTTTTTTTAATTGTTTAGATGGCTGTTTATCTAGAAGTATCAAACTTAGTAGGCGGCCATAACGACGCACCGCACCAGACCTTGGACCCCAGCCATGCACAGAGAAATCAAGCTTATTGTTAGTATTTTTTGGACCCTTGCACCTCGCAAAGTGTATGATGGATAAATTAATAAGCTTTTTAATATGCTTTTTGTTGAAAATTTTAAATAAAGTTATTTTTTAACTTGCCGTAGTGTTACCATTAATTAGTCTTTCTTCAACCGATATCGGTTAAACATGGCAATTCTTCCAAGAGATAATTACTTTGTTATCTATTTTACTTGAAATATAATCAAATGTATTAAATACCATTTTTTTAAACTAGAATTTAACAAAATATCATCTTTATCCGATGATGAAGATGATAAAAACCTCGTAATCATCGTTTAATTGTAACCATATGCGTTACCTTTGAGAGGGTCAGTTGATATTTTTAATATCAAAATCGAAAATTCCAGAGTATCCTAGATTAAAAAGGTACTCTTGTGTTGAGTGGCTAGGGTGTAGCGTAGGCGAGAAAAATCTATTTGAAATTGTTATTTTTTGCACAATAATTACAAAATTACAAATTCTTTGCTAACATTTACTAGTTGACTTTGGTAAACAGATAAAATAAAATTGTAAAAAAGTCGAAATTTTGTATTAAATATCATTACAAACTTGCTAAATTCTGGTGGTAAATACCCCTAGTATAGAAATACTGATTCTTAAATGTATTTTTACCTGCGTTTTCTGCTTCAGAGCTGTTCTTTTTTATACTGATTAAAAAGCTGTTCTTACTACGTAACAGATGTTTTTTCAATTTTTATAAATCAACTTGGTTTTTTAGACAAATTTGCTTTGACTAAATTTTCATCATTCTATACATACAAAGTGGTCCAACGAAAAATTTGTACCGGGTGTTACATCCTTTTGTGAAATTAGAAGAAAAAATGCTCGGACACATCAATTTTGGTTTTGAGTGGCACACATTTTTCAACCCGCCCCTCTCTAGCTGGCGACAATCACACCCCTAAAATTTCAAATGGAAGGTGCGATCGGGTGGCATCATTTCAATGGGCACAAAATTTCCTTTTCAATGATACCCTATTGGCTGGATTCTACTTGGACAGTTACTCCAAAAACAGCTATAGAAACCCAAACCCTATAGTTTCGGTATTCGTGAAAAATACGCGGTAATTAGCTATTAGGAGTCGGTGAGTTATGATCAGGGACGAAAGGACAAATTAGGGTTTCTGGTCGAGACTTCTCGAAGCGAGAATTCCCGGGAAATCTGGCCTTACTAGAGACGAGAAAAAAGTGTCGAGAAATCGAGAAATTTAAAAATCCCGCGCATCTTAAGTTCTTGACTGGAGTTCGTTTCGTTCTTGCGTTCAATTCGTTTCTCGACAAATAACTGAGCGGTTAAAGTGGTTTATCGACTAGCTCATAATTTATTTATTTTAAGTTTTTAAGGCTTTTGTTTACTTTGATGATTCTTATTTTTTTCTATCACACGCGCTCGCTATGGGACCTATAGTGTAGGGGGTTAGGTGCACGGAAAGTGCTAGATAGTACAACAGCGTGATGTTATTTTCATAGCGCAACGCTCCAGCGTAGGTGTTTTTTTCATGAATACCGAAACTATAAGATTTAAGTTTCTACAGCCGTTTTCGCAGTACTGTCCAAGTAGAATCCAACAAATAGGGTATCATTGGAAAGAATATGTTATGTTCTTTTAAATGTAATCCCGTAGCCCTGAAACTCCGAGGGTTGGTTCCTGTCCCTCTCGGAGTTCCTTAGTCGCCCGTCTTCCCGAATAGCCGTCAACCTAAGTTGAACACCGAATCGAGGGAAGCTTACTTTTCCATTTTCCGAAGTTTCACTGAATGTTAGTACCGACTGCCACCGATTTGTCAGTGATGAATTAATTTATTTATTTTCTTTAAATAAATGGGAGTACATCTATTGGAAAAAGTGGTTTATTTTCTAATCAAGACCCCTGGTGTACACTTTTCTCCACTGCTGTTACCCGGACGACGACTTTTTGTGGGACATCCGAGTCTCGCACTGAAAGTTCGTCACAATCTATAATTAACTTCAAAAAATTATTTTCCAGAAATTATCACATTTGTTTCTAAAACTTTCTTAAAAATGTATAATTCATCTTTCCTTATACTATGATTAAATTACTGTAAAGTAAGGTAAATAACATGACGGTAAAGTTGATAAACTGTAAACCAAACCAGACGAGAGCAAATTTCATTCCATTTCTGCATTTCTCTGCTTATATATGCAGATATTATCATGCACAAATTAATTACAAAGACTGGATGAACATACGCTATCGAAATTATCATTTTCAGCTCATTGTTTACCTAAAAGCGTAGAATATTTTGTTAACAATATACCCATATTATCGTCAGGGATTACTTCATTAATAATGTGCACATTTAATTAATTCACTTACGTTGTTTGTTATAATTCGCTAAATTTATAAACTGATTAACAAATATAAATATTTAAGGAGGTATATCGGGGTCCGAGGGAAGTGAGGAGCACAAGGGGGTCCTATGCTTTCCTTATGGGACTAAAGCCAGCTGCCAATTTGAAAAAAATTAATTCTATTGGAATTATTTGTAATAAACATTATCTATATAGCAAAAAAATCTACTCATATGCACATAGCATACATATTGACTAATTAACAACATAAAAATATCATATTTTAGTAGTTTTAAATTATATTTAATGAACGCATAAAGACTATGTAGATGTGGCAACAGTTGTACACACTGCGAACCTACAGATCTCGAACATCGGATATATTGCGCGTCAAATTCGGGTAAAGATGCGTACGCGTTCAAAAATGTATTGTGTGTAAACTATGTACAATATAATTATTATATATAGCAAATATATCGTATTATCCTCGTGAAGATTTGTATCCTTTATTCCGTAAATCATGTGAACTGGTAAAACAAAGAGAATTATGTTAATTTAGTTCTAAACAAATGAAATGAGACTCGCGCCCATCTCTCATCCAAGTCAAAGAAAATGTTGGATGCAATTTTGAAGGTTCTGTTATAGAAATTACATTATTACTCACTGTTCGTGTTTTTAATCTCTATTTTAGTAATGTTACAAAAGTTTTGCAACTATAACTAATTTTTTAGATATAAAGTTTGCTGAGAAATATATATGTTCCTTTGTTATTCCGTACAAATGCTTTTATCTCAAGTATTATTAGTTATATTAATCAAGTAAAGAAAACTTTATGTAACCCTAAATATTGCTGGGTAATGATTACGATGTTTTTAAAAACCATTAAATATATTAAAAGGATTTATCAACTGTATTTTTTATTCCAATAAATATATCACAGCTTCCAGTCTTTTTTAATTAATCTAGTTTTTTAAAAACATTACAAAAAATCATCTGTTGTGGATAATTTTTTGTTGATAACAATGTACATGGGATTTAGTAAAAATGTATATATTTGAAATCAATTTCAGTTTTATCCAGTGTTTCAAATGTATTCCCTCCTTGCTGTCAGCTGATTGCGACGTTGCCACATTAATCCTCAAGTCAGACAGAAATGCAATTATTGGTTTCTGTTTCTAATTAATACAGCTGTACTATGTTCAAAACATGCATTAGTTTTACATCAAAAATAAGATAATACTGTGTACTATATACGGAAAAGTTTTGTTTCACAATTTCTACATTTTTTTCTCAGTTATGGGCAAAAAAAGAGCCGCACCGTCCATCTTCGCCATATAAACCTATGTTAAAATAAACAACTTTCAATAATAATATCTTAAAATCTAGATTCAAAAAAATTTTCAAAAAAATATGACGCACAGAGGGAGCACTGGGTAATACGCTATATAAATTTCAAGTACATCTGTGCATT